ACAGGCTGATATGGTGCACTTCTAGTGAATGTGTACCAACAGGGAGGGCATGTTTGTACCCGACTGAGCCGATGTGCTCAAGTACCTGAAATGGCCTGTAGAAACGCGGTGCCAACTTGCCCTGCTGGTAGAGATGCTGCCGGCCGATGCTGAAGGAGAAGGCATGTCCACTCGCTGGTGTCAAAGGAGAGCTCTTGATGCCTACTGTCATAGTAGTGCTTGGACCTTTGGACTGTTGTTGGGTCTGAAGTAGATGCTCACACACATCGTGGAGGAAAGAATCACGATCCTGAAGGGCTGTGTCAACAGCTGCCACTTGGGAATTGTCAGGACTAGAGTCACAGAGACAAGGTGGAGAATGCCCATAAACTACTTCAAAAGATGTAGCACGTTGTGAGGAGTTGTGTGATGTATTATAGCAGTATTCTGCCCACGAAAACTACTTCAGCCTGCGACGCGGTTGATCTCCTGTTAAGCAACAGAGATACATGGCAATGACCTTGTTGACCACCTCAGTTTGTTCATCGGACTGCGGATGGAAAACTGAACTCATGTGTAGCCGAACACAGGACAATTTGAACAATTCCTGCCAAAAAGCGCGGGTGAACATAGGATCTTGGTCGCTCACAATTGACCGTGGAAGACCATGAAGGCGTACAATTCCCTCAAAGAACGCGCGTGCCAATGAACTAGCGGTATAGGGATGTTGCAGCGGGATGAAGTGTGCATACTTGGAGGAGCGATCGATGACGGAGAGAATCACAGACATGCAATGCATGCACGGCAGGGCCTCCACGAAATCCATGGAGATATCCTCTCACGTAGAGGAGGGAACCATCAAGGACTCAAGTAGGACAGCAGGGTGAAGGGTCTCCTTCTTGTTGCGCTGGTACATGGAACAAGTACGCACCAGATCAGCTACTAGGTGACGATCACACAACACATGGAAGTCAGCGCAAAGGCGATGTAGTGTCTTTTGCACACCCTCATGAGCCGCACTGGTGTGCTTGAGGATTGCAACCAATGTCAGGGACGTCTCCAGAATATGTACTCGACTTCCATGGAGGATCAAGTTGTCCGCACAACTCCATTGGGTCGCTAGCTTGCCTGCTAAGATGCTGTCACACATGGCTAAGAGCTTCAGGGCGATGTTGATCTCGTCCTGTAGATCGTCGAAGATGGAAAACAGCGGCAGTGACAAAGCACAAATTGTTGGAGAGCGTTGGTTTCACGGCTGGACAAGGCGTCAGCGACAATGTTCAGGCAGCCTGGCCGGTATTGAACAGTGAAATAAAATCTGAACAACTTGCTGGCCTGTTGGTGCTGCAGAATCGTCTAGAGTCGCTGGTCGAGGAGGAACTTCAGGCTGTAGTGGTCGGTGCAAACGGTGAAAGTGTGACCCCACAGGTATGGGTGCCAATGGCGGACAATCTGAACCAGGCTTATGAGCTCCTGCTCATATCTAGTCAGTTTAGCATGGCGAGGGGCAATGTGGCGGCTGAAGAAGGCTAGGGGACCAACGCCTTGATGCAGGACCACACCGAATCATGTCCCTGAGGCGCTGCATTCAACGATGAAGCGGTTGTTAAAGTTGGGCATGTGCAACACTGCACCTTTGCTGATGGCGCACTTGAGCTCTTGAAAGGTGGGCTCAGCTTCGACACACTAGCGGAAGATGTCCTTGGTGAGTAGGTGCGTGAGATGTGCGATGATCAGTCCAAAGTCCTTGATGAACTTGTTGATGAGAAAACCGCACAAGGCCCAAACTGAACGTGGAGTCGGCCAACTATTGCACACACCTTGTCTACGTCCATCGCAGCAGAGATGACATGGCCTAGGTCAGCCACACTTGTGGTGCTGAATGTGCACTTGCTTTGCTTGAGGAAAAGGACACGTTTGCCGCAAGAGTTGAAAGACAACACCAAGGTGGCGTAGGTGCTCATAGGTGCTTTCATTGTGATGAGCTATAAATCAGTATGTCATAACAAAATGAGGACGATGTGACAAATGAAGGGTTGCAAGATCTCGTTCATGAGAGCCTGGAAAGTTGCTGGTGTGTTGGTTAAGCCAAAAGGCATAACCAATTCATAGTGGCCATCATTAGTGCGGAAGGCTGTCTTGGCGAAATCATTTGGGTGCATGTGCACCTAATGATACCCCGAGCGCAGATCAAGCTTGGTGAAGAGCCTAGCACCATGGAGTTCATTGAGCAACTTGTCAACCACCAAGATGGGAAGTTTATCTTTGACAGTCTGCTCATTCAAAGCCTAGTAGTCGACATAAAATTGCCAGGAGCCATCATGTTTTTTGACGAGAAGGACAGGTGAAGAAAAAACGGAGTCGCTGGTGCAGATAAGGCCTTGGTGAAGCATATTGGCACATTGTCACTTGAGCTCGTCTTTGTGCAACCGCACATACCGGTATGGGCACACGACAACAGGGGTGGCGTTGGGAAGCAGACGAATGCGGTGGTCTTGGGTCCTGGCCGGTGGGAGCGTCGTAGTAGAGGTGGACGAACTCGTCGAGCATATCATCCATGGGTCCCGAATCCTGTCTCAAAAGTGTATGCACGACCCTCCCGGGAGGGGGGGGGCATGTGACATGGGTGCTGTGGAGGTGGAAGGATACGTGAAAACGATGAAAGTCCCAAAAAATGGGCCCAAACTTCCGGAGTCAGTCGACACCAAGAATGGTGTCGAAGCTGCCGAGCAGAATGGTGAAACAGTCCTTGCGGAATGTCAAGCCTTCAATATGCAGTGGAATGTCAAGCCTTCAATATGCAGTGGAATGTCATAGGTAGAGTCCTGAATTGGCGACCTGATCACCGTTGGCCACCATCATACGGAGGACGGGGTCTACCTCCGGAGTAAGGCTGGTAGGCAGTAGAGCACTAGAGTCGATCAAGTTGTGTCAAGCCTGTATCTAGCAAGGCAGTGAATGTCGTGTCCTTGATGCAGACACGCAACTGCATTATGTCCATCGTGTGAAGGCTCCAAAGGCCGGTGATGGCACGAGACTGGGGGGTGGGGGACTTTGATCCATCCTTGTCGCAAAGGTCATGTGGAGCGAAGTCGTCAACCTCGATGAAGAAAAGCTTGGCGCACCAGTGGCCCGGGACATAAGGCTCATCACAGTTGTAGTAGATGTCTCACGACGCCGTTTGGCAAACTCGGCTGGAGTGAGATGGAGAAGTGCTGGTGGTGCCGGGGTAGCTGATGCCGGAGTTGGGGCAGGGGCAATACAAGGCGCCGCTACACGAGTCCAAGGAGGCTGTGGCTGTGGCGCCGAAGAAGGTGCACGATGGTGCCGCTCATTCGCCTTGGCGAAGGCAATACCGGAGTGGAGGTCAATGGCCGCTGAAGCTCGCCGTCTTGGCAAAGGCCCTCAGGCAACCTTGTGGTGTGCTGGAACTACTGCTGGGCTGGCGAAAAAAGCTCACTGTTACGGCAGAGAAGTGCCATGAACTTGCTGCTGTAGTCAACAACCGAGGGGGTGATGATAGGCGGGCAAATGTGTGAAGAGATGGCCCGAACTTGAGGTGGCAAGCCTCCTTGAACCGCTCCCATGTTGGTATGCCATAGTCACGCTCCAACTACAAGTACCAAAATTTAGCGTCGCCCTGCTGTCCAAACTTTGTCAACCTCGTGTGTGCGCTGACCCTGGAAAAGTTGGTCACACCGGTTGAGCCAACCGAGGGGGTCGATGGAGCCATCATACGTGGGGAAATCCAGTTTGTGGAAGCGAGGACCGAACTAGAGCCAGAGCCAACATGAGTATAAGGGTATGGTGGGACGGAAGTTAGAGGCGAGGCATTATTTTGTAGGCTGGGTCGAGGGCGGCTTCCAGGCATTAAAGGGGTTGCTGCTGGGTAGGTTGAGGGAGGAACATGGTACTGTGGTGGCAGCAGCTGGTGGTACGCGGGATAAGCGGTGTGGCTTGGGTTGGGGCACAGGCTGGAAGCAATCTGGGTGGAGGTGGTGGGTGGGCAGGACGTGCCTCATGGTGGGCTGAGAGCGTGCAGTGAAGTCGTGCTGGTCTGGCCTGCGGGTGTGCCAGAGAAGACCCTGCCAACGCCAGGCCCTGCGCTGGGGTAGAGACGGGCGCCCCAAAGAATCCACTGTAGCCACCAGAGCTGAGGAAAGCGAGTGCTTGATCCTCCGTGCTGTGGGCCACAAAAGCTTTGAGTTGATCAGAGATTTCTGTGATCTGGGCTACGGCGTCGGTGTTGAGGACCTCGTCCCCAGGCATCTTAAATGTATCTAATACCAAAATTGGAAGAAATCAAATTTATAATTACTCTAGGCAGCTATGGTAAAGAAAATGCTCTGAATTGACTTGCTTTATTCACCAGATTAAGTCCCTTCTTATAGGCGGACTTACTTGGCCATCAAGCCAAAACCAAACCGATTACAATCTGGACTCTCTCTCTCTCTCTCTCTCTCTAAACGGACTCTGAAGCTTTTAACTAATTAAATTCTGACTCAAACTGAAGGCTAAGGGAAACCGAGTCTCCCTGCTATTTGCGCTTCCTATGGTGGCTCTGCTGTATTGTTGTGGGCCCTACGGCTATAAGTCTGACCCCACATTCATATGTATCTTGCAGACTTGGATCTTCCAGGATTTGGTTACATCTTAATTTGTGTTCCATGTTACTGTGCACTGTTACTTATATCTACCCTGATCCATCTTCAGGACTTCTGACAAAGAAGTTCATCAATTTGCTGAAGCAAGCTGAGGATGGCATTCTAGATTTGAATAATGCTGCAGAAACACTAGAGGTTACATACACACTGTTATCACTGCAGCTGATACTTAATTGCTTCCAATTGATACAAATTTCACATATTTTTCCTACTATTCAGGTTCAAAAGCGACGCATATATGACATCACAAATGTCCTCGAAGGAATTGGTCTTATAGAAAAGACACTTAAAAACAGAATTCGTTGGAAGTAATGCTATTTTCCTTTCTTGAACTTGTCTTCCTTCATTTAGTCTTATTTCTTTACCACTTGGTGTGTTATATAAAGCTAATCTCACATAACATTACAGGGGCTTGGATGATTCAGGAGTGGAATTAGATAATGGCCTTTCAGGTTTGCAGGTATCTGTTCATGTGAATTTATTATTCCTAATGAAATTGACATATTAATTCTACGCGCACCTGAATACTTTGTTTGAGATATATTATGATAAGGATATCAAAGCTCAGTATTGTATAACCTATTCTTTCAGACAGAAGTTGAAAATCTTAATTTGCAGGAGCAAGCCTTAGATGAGCGTATAAGGTTGGTAGTGTTGCAAACAACAAACTTCAAATTCTGGGCTTCTCTACAAAACATACAATCTGAGCATGATATAACCTGGAATCTTGTTTTTTTTTGCAGTGATATGCGCGAAAAGCTAAGGGGGTTAACGGAAGATGAGAACAGTCAAAGGTAATTGTATTTCTTGTGTTGTGTCAATGTTGAATGATGTATAAAACCTGACTTTCATTTGTCCATTAGATGGCTCTATGTGACGGAAGATGATATCAAGGGATTACCCTGCTTTCAGGTCTGCTACTCTACTTACATGGGTGAACAATGTCACACGTTAGTTGTTATCATTTGCAGTTGACTTTACAGTATTTCTACAGCAGTGATTCTGTATGTTAACATGTATTTCGGGCTTTTCAGAATGAAACTCTAATTGCAATAAAAGCTCCTCATGGTACTACACTTGAAGTACCTGATCCTGATGAGGTAGGATTAGTAAAATTAGTGGAGATTTGCACACACAAATGGTTTTGTGGACTGATTAATGACTTCTTGTGTATCTGCTCCCTATACAGGCTGGTGATTATCTCCAGAGGAGATACAGAATCGTATTAAGAAGTACCCTGGGTCCAATAGATGTTTACTTAGTTAGGTAATGCTGCATTCCTGTAGTGGAGCTAAATATTTGTACTGAATTTTACCTGATCAGAACCTGTTGTATTTTTAGTCAATTTGACGATGGATTTGAGAATTTGGGTGGTGCTGCAACACCTCCAAGGCATACAAATGTCCCAAAACCTGGACCTTGTGAAGACTTACATGCAACAAACGCTACACAAAGCAGCAAATCAATCAATGTGGAATATAATATTCAGCACAGGCAGAATACTCCACAAGATCCTAGTTCTTCAAATGATTATGGAGGGATGACAAGGATAATCCCTTCAGATGTTAATGTAAGTCCGGTTTTCTCAAAGTTTATTTTTGAAAATTTCTCCTGTATCATAAAATTCAAATAAAATGTTACAACATTATGCATGACTGTACAAACTTTTGTTCTGCTCTTTCTGTTAACCTTTTTTGTCCCTTGAACTCTCACATGCAAATCCTATTTGTAAAACTAACTATTAAGTTTGCAGAAGCATACAGTAAGTTTTTCTCTATAGTAATACTCCTCTTGTGCAAAGATATCAAAAATGATCATGACGGAACTATAATGCTACACAATTTTGCAGACTGATGCTGATTACTGGCTCCTAACAGAGGGTGATGTTAGTATTACTGACATGTGGGAAACAGCACGTATCCTTTGTTTGATCATTCATTAAACCTTATTAGGCTATTCACTAATGTTTGAAATATATACATGCTAAGTAGTGATTATCTCAACTTGAAGTTCTTAACATGGAAAATAGCAGAAGTGCAGTGGGACACCGCTGTGTTTTTACCTGAAGATGTTAGCATCCCACATGCACATCATAGTCCGCGGATGCAGGTTCCAAGCATGGATCAACCATAAGGTCATGGCGGTGAAAACTTGACATATGGAATTCCTGGAGTGCTGTTTCAGAAAATACTGATTTCAAAATGGAAAGATCAGGGCAGCAAGTTCAGACTGATCACCGTTCTGAATTTGCTGTTTGTTATGGAGACGATTGGTGCCAACTAACTTATCAGTCTGCTGCCTTGTTTGTTCTGGCACCTGTCCTTCAGTTGAAAAGGCGCCCATGTGCATATTGCACCTTGAATTCGGGCTGCTATGCACATTCGGTATCTGCTTTATTTCTCTAACTGAGTATATTTTGCAAGGCAATAGTGGCTCTGTAGCTCTCTTGGGAATTAATACGAATCTTTTTGAGCAAAAACAGTAGGGAAGTCCCCTGTTGTGACTCTTTAATTATATAAATGGAGTTTATACAAAGGGGTAATACAAGTGGAGTTGGGTGAGACAAGGGCATGTCACAAATGATCTAACCAAGATTGCATGCCCTCCACCAAACTATGTTTAGCTCTCTTTATGATTAAACCAAAATGTTCATTGAAGCTAATGTCACTGAAGCCTAATACCCAGCAATAAGAGCTTCCTAGTAGCACATGATGTCCAATCTGTTTCTAGCTTCAGTAAGCATCTTAAGCAGTTCCAATTCCGGTTTCCATTCAATCTTTAGGGACAACCAGAAGTTTTAACTGAATTCATAGCTGAAGAAGATATGAAGCAAATCTTCATTGGTCTCTTCAGTACACACATGTACTGTCATCAATATGTATGTTTTTTTTTCTGGTTATGAGGTCTCTGGTGTTTAAATTTGTCATAAATTAGGAGGTAGAAGAAAAATTCTGATTTAAAAGAGATGAAGATTTCCATATCCATCTAAATGGAGCCGGGGCTGGTGGTCGGCCTCCAATCATCTCATTATATGCCTTTTTGTTTTTTTAATATGCCTTTTTGGTGGAATGAGCTTGAAAGAACCATATATCCATGTCAGTGGTGGATCCAGGATTTAAAGATACTCGGGACGGACTTTTTAAAAGAAACAAAAAAAATCGAAGCCATGATATAATCAAGTAACACAATCAATAAAATTAAATTGTCAATTGTGCATTCAGGCAACATGATCAACACAATTAATTATTCAAAATAGTTTCATTCTCAAGAACTAGAGAAAGAAACATAACACATTTTTTTTTAGTAAAGTCTAACTTGGACTCCCGCTTGTTGAATCTTTCATTATTTATCAAAAAATATCTAATTTTCAAGTCCATTGCAATACGCTAAAGATGTAAAAAAGTAGATCAATTTAAATCTTAGCACAACATGACACTTATTCAAACAAAAGATAAGACATGTTTTTGCCACTAAGTTGCCAATGTTGGCTCGATTGTAGTTTTGAGCCGACGGCCCTAGAAACAAGAGACTCCATTCTCTTTCTCCATCCAGTACTTGGACGAACCTGGCAACGCCACGGGAAGGCAGAAGTGGAGCGCCATGCCTTGCAATTGGAAACATCAAGTCCAGGTTGCGGATAAAAAGTAATGGGCTAATCTCATCTTTCATTGGGCCTTACTTGACTGGCCCATCTCCTAGTAAATCATGGCCTATCGTGTATCTCTCCTAGCGAACCGTTCATTTCCTCTCCTCTCGCTCGTTGCTCAACCTCATCTCAAAGCTAATCTGCTCGCCTCCCATGGTGGCCATGCCAAAACAGTAGGTGGGATACCCTAGATCCTTAAAATTTACCAAGGGCGGCCGCCCATACACGACCCCATGCTGGCGTCGCCCGTGATCCTTGTCATCATAGCTCATAAGGCCATTTAGTAGGTCATTGAGCATGAATTATATTACATTGTTGAACAACAAAGTAGACATTTGAAGATGGAACATATCATGTATATTTTCCTGGGCTTATATTCTTGGGCTCCGAAGACACAAATCTCCTTACCTCTAGAATAAGAATAAAGTTGAAGAAAAATGTGTTGGAGTTTGTTATCTTGCCAGAGATCATTCCATAGAAGAGCAAACGTCCCTTTGAAGACCTTGCATTTAGTCATATCTTTAAATGTCCCAAGATAGAACAACAACCCTTCCACCAAAAGGATCCTCTATTAGTAGGAAATGAGGGGACATTGGCATTGCCATGTTCTCTCCATATTAGATCAACCCAGGGAATGTCATGCTGGATAAATAACTTAAATACGTTCTTTGTCAATAGTGTTTTGTTTTGGTTCTGAGATCAGGAACCCCAAGACAACCTAAAGTTGAGTGTGGAATACCCAGTTAGGTATTGCCCTCCCATCCCCGTCTCTATGACACCATCCCCATGGGGAGAGAAAACTTCCCGTCCCTGTCCCAAACAGGCTTTTCATCCCTGTGGGGAAACCCACCTTCAAGCAACATTCTTTCTATAGGAACACTCATCAATCTTACACATGGCTTTGGAAATCAAAAGTGATCATGAAAATCAAAGTCTTTGGTTGGCTTCTCCTCTCAGACAGACTCAACACTAGAAATATGCTCAAGAGAAGACATTACAACATTGGAGATAACTACAACTGCCTCCTATGTGACCCACCAATCGAGGAAACCCTAGAACACCTCTTCTTCACATGTCCATTCAGCCTACAATGCTGGTCGCACCTTGGCATCAACTGGAGATTACAAGACACAAGACTACAATGGATAGAAAAAGCAAAATCCACATGGAAAAGGCCCATGTTAATGGAAATTTTCTTACAGGCTGCTTGGAGCATATGGAAAGAGAGAAATAACAAGCACTTCAAAGGGATCATACCTTCAAAATCCTCTTGGCTAGCTCAGTTGAAAGAAGATCTCTCCCTACTTTGCTATAGGGTGGGAGAAAAACACAAAGCCTTTTTGAACTCTTTTGTAACTAGTATCTCCTAACTTAGTTCTCCTTTCTTTCTTTTTATCTTAACCCCACCACCCCAGCTTTTCTCATGGCGATGGATGTAAGGTTATGATTCTGTAAGACCTTTTGATACTTTAATTAATATATATGGTAGGAGCATCTCCTACTGTTTCAGGTGTCAAAAAACATTTGTTAGAAATTTAGCAGCATTCCACCCAAAAAATAGCAACATTTTAGCCCGAAAAATAGTAGCATTTCATCACAAAAGCAACATTTCAGCACAATAAATAGTAGCATTTCAGCAAATAAACAACATCATTTTAGCACATAGAAAGTTCCCAAATCTCAAGTTCCACCCACACAAGTACACAACAGTTCACAATCTTATGAATGGACATTACAATTCAAAGTTTACACACAAATTTAAATTTCTTTTGCCTTTGCAAGCAAAAGAAGAGCAGCAAGCCATCAATGTCCAACATGGTAGCCTCCACATCTTGTTTTTTCATAAAGAGTCAAGCATAACTTCTTAGATTAGGTGGGCAAAATGAATATATGAGATCACACACATAATTAACAACAACAACAAAGCCTTTAGTCACAAACAAGTTGTAGGCTAGAGGTGAAACCCATAAGATCTCGCAACCAACTCATGGTTCTGGCACATGGATAACAAGCTTCCATGCACCCCAGTCCATGGTTAGTTCTTTGGTGATACTCCAGTCCTTCAGATATCTCTTTACAGACTCCTCCCATGTCAAGTTCGATCTACCTCAACCCGTCTTGACCTTATCACCAAGCTTTAGCCATTTGCTATGCACTGGGGCTTCTGGAGACCTGCGCTGAATATGCCCAAACCATCTCAGACAATGTTGGACAAGCTTCCCTTCAATCGGTGCTACCCCAACTCTATATCGTATATCATCATTCCAGACTCGGTCCTTCCTCGTGTGGCTACACATCCATCTCAACATGCGCATGTCCTCCACACCTAACTGTTGAACATGTCGCCTTTTAGTCGGCCAACATTTAGGGTATTTTTGGTTTGTGCCCCATCCTGCCCCACCAATTTTTTGGCATGACCAATGCAAGGGCATGGCCAAAAATTTGGCAACTTCTTGTTGTTTGGATCATAGCCGTTGTATCTTGCAAATTTTTGGCAAAATAGACTTCTGTTTGGTTTGTGACAGGGGTATGATGATTTATGTTGGTTCTAGAAAACATTTAAACAGATTGGTTATACATAATTGAGGATCTGTATATTGATCAAAAGTTAACGATTAGAAGGAGTCAACTTAAAAAACCCCCAGCAAAACAATGAACAGGGTTCTTACACTTGGAGCCGATAATCACATGCAACAACCGTGAATTGCTCCCATGCAGCAATACACACACTAATCCCATGCATCAATGCACGCGCCTGCTAATCAGCTGAGTTGATAAAGGAAATAAAAAACAAATAGTATACTACATGTACTATCCTGACCCATGGAGAAACAGCGACGCACCGTCGCCAATGTTTTGGCGAACCTCTTCGGCGCCCTTGTTTCGCCCGTGCGTAACACGGAGGGGCTTGGGGCAAGCGGGGCGAGCCAAATTTTCTGCCCCGATCCAAACAACCGCCAAATAATGTTGGCTCACCAATTTTTTGGTATGGCCAGCATTGGTAGGTATCCAAATAGTCCCTTAGCGCCGTACAACATTGCGGGCCGAGTCACCGTCCTATAGAACTTGCCTTTTAGCTTTTGTGGAACTCTCTTGTCACAGAGAATGCCAGAAGCTTGGCGCCACTTCATCCATCTGGCTTTGATTTGATGGTTCACATCTTTGTCAATATCCCCATCCTTCTGCAACATTGACCCAAATATCGAAAGATGTCATTCTGAGGCACCACTTGCCCATCAAGGCTATCCTCCTCCTCTTCCTCCTCCTTGTGCCTAGTGGTACTGAAACCGCACCTA